AGGTATGATGTTAATGGGAGATGGTATTGTGGACATTTTATTTTCTATCTTTTCAAACAATAATCCCATAAAGTGAACATAAATATAAAAAAGATATGACTGACTCTTGAAGACTTTTGTGGAAATGAAAATTAAATCTATAAGAATTTCAGTTTGTGTGACATTTGTATTTGTGTCACTGTCAAAAGCTAACATATTCATGATACTTTCTGAATCATGAGAGACAAGGAACTTAAAACAGCATATCATTGTCTCCCAAATCTAATGACTCTCTATACTGAATACAATCAGCTGATCCCATACATAAACTCCATATCTGACTTCATCGAATCCTAGAACACACAACACGAAGGCATATGGAATTAGCCTTGAAACATTTCAGGGTCAATAATGAAGACATTCTCCTTAAAGTCTCCGTTTGGAGACACGAAGAGCTGGGCTGATGTGATGGATTACCAGAGTGCTGACAGCTCACCTCCTGTTGTCTAAGTGGGTTGAACGTGGAAGGAGTGAATACAGACCATGGATACAAAAAGCCTTTTTTTTCGCGGAAACCACTAATGCCATTTCTGACATCTCCTACCATTACGCATAACTTCCTAACACCAGTGTATTCCTGAAGGGTTGAGGGGCAAGGTGGACTCGGTGATCTATATTTATTCTGGTGTTCTTGAAGGTTGGCAGCATCTTGCAAATTTCTTTAGAACATTTACTGCCATTGTAACCTTTAAAATTAGCACTCGAGATCAAGTATTCATTTCCTGGTAAACATTTAATGACTTTATGGATACCAAGATATCATATCTTCATGTCTTAAATGTCATCTACACTGCCAAGGAGATACTCAGGTAGAGGCCATGTCCTAACATGCTGGTCATATTGATCACATGCAGTGAACAGGCATAGTGACTTTGGGTAGAGTTACTTGTTTAAACTAAATTCTGTAAGACACTAAGCAGATGCTGACTTTTTCCTACCAAGAATAGTTAACGACATGCCAACTCACATTACAATACCTATTATCTCAAGCAGGTATGTGAATCTAAACACACACACATTCTAATAACTTTTAAGACCCACTTGAACCAGTATTGAATTTGTGGAATACATCCACAAATGCCATGACCCATTTCAGCCTACAGGGAACCCTGCTTAACTCAAAGGCCATGAAGTACATAACATTATAACTGACTTAGTTATAACACCAGCATGACCACTGGACATCTCATTCTATAATGAACAATGGAATAACTCCAGAATGACCGTGTCTCACCTTGCTCTATCATGAACTGTGGAATATCTCCAGAAAGACCGCGTCTCACATTGCTCTATAATGAACAGTGGAATAATTCCAGAAAGACCGTGTCTCACCTCACTCTATAATGAACAGTGGAATAACTCCAAAAAGATCGTGTGTCACCTCACTCTATAATGAACTGTGGTATAACTCCTGAAAGGCCATGTATCTCGTCACACTATAATGAACTATGGAAAAACTCCAGAAAGACAGTGTCTCACCTCACTCTATAATGAACAGTGGAATAACTCCAGAGAGACAATGTCTCACCTTGCTCTATACTGAACTGTGGAATAACTCCTGAAAGACCGCATCTCACCTTGCTCTATAATGAACAGTGGAATAACTCCAGAAAGGCCGTGTCTCACCTCACTCTATAATGAACTGTGGAATAACTCCAGAGAGACAATGTCTCACCTTGTTCTATACTGAACTGTGGAATAACTCCTGAAAGACCGTGTCTCACCTCACTCTATAATGAACTGTGGTATAACTCCTGAAAGGCCATGTATCATGTCACACTATAATGAACTGTGGAAAAACTCCAGAAAGACAGTGTCTCACTTCACTCTATAATGAACTGTGGAATAACTCCTGAAAGACCATGTCTCAACTCACTCTATAATGAACTGTGGTATAACTCCTGAAAGGCCATGTATCACCTCACTCTATAATGAACTGTGGACTAACTCCAGAGAGACAATGTCTCACCTTGCTCTATACTGAACTGTGGAATAACTCCTGAAAGACCATGTCTCAACTCACTCTATAATGAACTGTGGAATAACTCCTGAAAGGCCATGTATCACCTCACTCTATAATGAACTGTGGACTAACTCCAGAGAGACAATGTCTCACCTTGCTCTATACTGAACTGTGGAATAACTCGTGAAAGACAATGTCTCACCTCACTCTATAATGAACTGTGGTATAACTCCTGAAAGGCCATGTATCACCTCACTCTATAATGAACTGTGGACTAACTCCAGAGAGACAATGTCTCACCTTGCTCTATACTGAACTGTGGAATAACTCCTGAAAACCGTGTCTCACCTCACTCTATAATGAACTGTGGAATAACAACATACATAGTCACACCATTTATTCCACTATCTAACATCTGATCCACTCATGCACACAACCAATATCAAGTGTAACAGTTCATCTGGTGTCTGGTGAATCAATATATAATGCTGTATGATAAACACACCTGTGGTACCAATGTGGTATGTAGTATGAACACATGAAGCCTGGTGCAGGGAATTATAAACACTTACCAGGTTAGTATAATTGTTAGTTCACCGACCATAAGCTTTCCGTGACCATGCACTACCAGCTACAAACATTGTGTGTGAACATGAACAGAAAAGGTTTTAGTATTAGTTAAAACTGTGAAGTGTTTTGGATTAGCTGCTAATATATTCCTTTGTTAGATGCCATTACTATCTACTCCACAGGTGTAGAAGCTCTGACCCTAACAATAACTCTTTGTTATATATTAACTGTCAATGCAATTATGAGAGACAATGGTTTGACACTTGTCCATTACAGTTCTATTTATTTGAATGTTGAATTGAAGGAGAATAATAATTGAGGAATATATTTTGTATGGAATGAGAAAAGCAACAAAATATGTAAAAAGATAACAAAGATACAAAGCATACATTATATCTTGAAAATAAAATTATAAATTCTGAAAAGCCAATAACAACATTAACAAAGCCAAAACAAAACCAGCTTCACTGAATGGGTTAATGCATAATGTGTGATAATATTTGTACCTGGTGGACACTCAGGAGGCGAGGATGAAGGTGAGGCAGCAGTTGCTGAGGTCAAGGTCACTGGTTGATCTTGAAGGTGAAGGTTGGGTTGGGAGGAAGGGTTTGAAATGGGATGAAGGGTTTCAGAAGGTGGAGAAGAGGCATCAAGGTCATGCCCAGGCACTAAGGGGATGCTGGGGAAAGTTGAATAACATTCAGGAACACTTGCATTGCTAATGGCATTCACTGTGCTTACTTGCTCGGGACAGTCAGAAATTTCTTTCTCAGATACATTTTCATGAGCCACTTTGTTTTCTTCCATTGTTTGATTGGAGTGTGAGTTGGTGTCTGTTTCAGGAACTTGAGGTTCAGGAACTTGAGGTTCAGGAATTTGAGTTTCAGGAACTTGAGGTTCAGGAATTTGAGGCTCAGAAACTGGAGTTTCAAGAACTTGAGTTTCAGGAACTTGAGGTACAGGAGATGCCCTGCCATCACCCACATTCTCAACATCATCCTGAGGAAGCTCTTCATCACACAGAGTCTCAGTGCTAGCTGACATTGATGCATCTTTGGGACAAGAGTTCTTTGCAGCAGGAACCTCTTTAACTGAATCTACCGACAGGGACATATCAAACCATGCTGAATCCTGGTCCTCGCTGGCAGTGTCGCTGCCATTTCTGTCAGTGTTCTTCATGGCAACCTCCTCCTCTGTAACAAGTATGCTGCTTGTGGGCGTCTGCCTGTTGGAATGGTCCACAGAACTCATATCACTCAGGTAGGCAGATATGGTGTCAGATGTTACTGATACTTTGTCAATTGCCTCAACATCACTTTTTTGTTCTGACTGTTCATCTTTTGATTGAATGGGTCTGTCTATAAATCCCTCTGATATAACTGGAAGTTCAAAGGATGATGGACTAGCAAGTACCTCTTCAATGTGTTTTTTCTGCTGTCCCCTCCTTGCCTTTCTGATTGCAGAGGCAGCAGATCCAGAACCAAAACTATCACTGCTACAGTAACTCTCAATGCTTATGTTTTTTTGGTATATCTTTTCTATTTCCCTATCAAGTTCTTCATCTTCCACTGTGTCATCTAATCCTTCACTGATCTCAGAGAAGTCATCATCTTCAGGTTCAGTTCTCTCCGTGATGACACTGAGGCAGTCTGACATCTCATCTACATCTTGCTGTAGGTAGCGCTGCACAGCATCACTAATGTTGATTGGTTGGGAAGCAAAGGGATCACCTTCATCATTGTTCGCTATTAGTCCAATGGTGGACAGATTAGTAACTGTGGCGGCTGATGATGCAGCTGATGAAGTCACAGCTGCAGATGATGACGGTTTAATATGTTCCAGTTCACTGTCATCTTTAGACTTCCTAGTGGCTGAATGTTGTGCTGGATGAGAATTACTTACTTGAGGACGTGACATGGATACAAGCTGAAATAAGTGTTCATCATCTATGGTGTCGTTTAAGTGATTGGGTGAGGATGTGGCATCTGGCTTGTGTTCCTCAATCATACGCTGGCACTGAAGAGATGGCTCTGATTTAGTCTCTGTTATATCTTCATAATCTTGTCCATCCTTCAGACCATTTACTATTCCATCATAAGCTGCTTTAGTGTCCTTCATGTCAATGTGATTCTCAGCTTCATTTAACTCCTCTGCTCCACAACCTGACAGCTCACCAGACAACTGATCCTCTTCTGTCCCTGACAGCTCCCCAGGCAACTGAGCCTCTTCTGTTCCTACGACTCACCAGACAGTCGAGCCTCCTGTGTCGATGAATGATCCCCAGACAGTCGAGCCTTCTGTGATCCTGCCAACTCACCAGACAATGGAGCCTCCTGAGAGAGCCTTGGTGACACATACAGAGGGAACTCTGCTACTTCCATTACATCACTGTCCGACCCGCTGCATGAATGAGGGGAGGTAGCTGAAGCAGAAGCAGCATCTCGGGGTACAATCATGATGGAATCTAGGTGTGTTCCTTTATACATCTGATTGGCTGATTCATCACCTATATCCTCAGATCTAACATTGGATACACATTTAGGTGTTAATGGTTCATTTTTTATGTGTGGGTATGTCATCACTATCTGAATCTCTATTCATTAATGGACTCCAGTTTCTGGCTGATGTAAAGTTGTCAGAAGAGGAGGCAGGACATTTATATTGTGCATGAACATTAGAAGGTAGAACAAAGATAGAGGTGTCACTAGACAAAGATGGTATATGTGGGTCAGAGCTGTCGGACAACTTGTAAGAGTTAGTGAGACAAGACATGTTTACCTCTGAGTCAGACTGGTTATAAAATGTGTGATCAGGGTGCTTGTGCGAAGATGTAGAGTTCACAGCACTAATGGTGTCTCTATCAAAGAGGTCAGAGTTATGCTCACTATCAAAACAGGCATTCGCTACTGAGTTATTGCTGCTATGTGTTAAAGTTAGTGCATGGGTACTGTAATCTTTCTTTGTTTCAAAGAGTGCACTATTCTCTATACTGCCAGTTGCAGTTGCTGGAACATCTGGGACCTGTTCCTCTGACCCTGGACCACACATGCTATGTTGCTGTGCTACAGGGACAGTTGCTGGAACATCTAAGACCTGTTCCTCTGACCCTGGAGCACACATGCTATGTTGCTGTGCTACAGGGACAGTGGTGTTACAACTTGAGTCTGCATATTTGTGCTGTTGCCCTGAAACAGGTTTACCATCTTGTACAGAAATGTCTGAAAGATTGCAGCTTTCCAGAGCTCTCTTCTCCAAAGAATTTACAAGAGTAGGTGCGTGATCACTTAAATCCAGGTTAATCGTGTATTGTGTTTCTGACCCTGTAGAAGAAAGATCTACAAGAGGGTGATATCCTGGATCCGAACCTGCATTAGTGCAAGAGAAGCCAGTATGCTTATTCTCAAATGTATCTGTCACTTCAGAAACATGGTCGACCAGACGATCATCTGTCTGAGCTGATTCAACCTGTGGACACTGTGCCTGAGTTAGTTCAACCAGACGTCTTTCTTTCAGAGTTGAATTAACCAAAGGACCATCTTCCTGAGTTAGTTCAACCAAAGGACTACCTGCCCGAGTTATTTCAAACAGAGGACTACCTGCCTGAGTTATTTCAACCAAAGGACTATGTTTTTGAGTTGGTTCAACCACAGGATTATCTGTCTGAGTTGCGTCAATATCTGGGCTACAAATCTGACTGCTGAGGATGTCATGACTCTGATGACTTGACACTGCGATACCTGAACAGTTCTCCATACCAGATGGTCTGGAGTCCATGCCATTATCAGCTTCTCCATCTTCATGACTAGAATCAGATCCCATGGACTCCATGCAAACCATCACAGCAAGCCTTGGATTGGGTTCCCCCAGCATTAGTTCACTGATTCCTATGTCAACAACCACTGGATCATAATCAGGACTCCCTGAATCACTTGATGCAGTAATGGACTCCCTAGTTCTTTCTGAAGGACCGACTTCTGAAGACTTGGGCAGAACAAGAGGATCAAATAAACACCTTCTGTTGTGCTCCAGTTCAACAGCAGGTTTGATATTTTCAGTCTCGAAACCAGTCATGGGCACAGACTCTGCCGATGTTCTGGAAACAGGCTCTACGAAATCAGAACTGTTTTGTGCTCTTGAGAGTTTGTATTGTTCAGGCCTATCAGCAGACTTGTGAACAGATGCTACAGACATACCTGAAACAGGTTCAACCAAGTCAGGAACATTCTGCATCTCAGAGTGTTGATACTGAGGAACAGGAACCCCAGCACCAACTGGATGGCATGGGCGGTGCTGGGGTTCAGTATGTACATGCGGAGTTACCTCAAACATGATCTGTGCATGCCTGGGTGTTGAGGCTTCAATGGCGACATTAACAACAGAGGTGGCCTGGCTCACTACTGGACTGGCATGGAAGCTGGTGATTGTAGGAACCATGGCTTCCTCCCTTGTCTTCTGGTCTACAACTGTACCATCACTCGTGTCCATCATGTTTTGTTTCTGGTGAATTGACATAGCAGCAATAGCTCCAATGGAGGATGAATCAAAAGTAAGGTTAGCTTGGTCATCTGGGGACTCTTCTGATTTAAGAACCTCAAACCCACTTTGACCATTATTGTCAACAGTTACATCTGAATCAATGCACTGTCTATCAAGAAGCTTATTGCTCTGACCTATTTGAACAAGAGGACCATCAGTATGACCTGACAACAAGTCATCATGCATCCGGTGTTGTGAAGGAGTTACCTCCCTTGTGTTAGAATCAACATTTGAAGTATTAGACGGAGTATTCACACCACATCCAGAATTATAGTGCTCTGAAAGAGACGAGGCAAGTGCAGGAGTGATCTCTCTTGAATCAGTGTCATTGGTGATGTGATGTGAGCTTTCATGCATGAAATGGTGAGTTATTGGTAAAGTATTTGGAGGCAAATTATGAGATGGTTTGTGAAATTCCTCCACAGCATCAGCTGTGCATTCGGGCCCTCCAACCCTTGCATGTGACCTCCACTCTACAGCGCTATACACAGAAGACCCTTCACCAAACTCATCTGACAAATAAACAAACAGCAACTCAATAAGTACAATTTTGATAAATCAAATGCAGTGAAAAACAAACCAGAAAAATAAAGACTAACTTCAACAAAAGAATATCGAAGAAAAGCAGTACCAGTCAAAATTACTCATGTACATATTTTATATTATTTATCAACTCAAAAAATATTTCTTAGAGATATTTAGCCACAAATAACTGCAATAATGCTGATAAGGCTTAAGGCAATAGTTTCTCACTCACTTAAAAATATTACGATGCTTTGCAAGCTATCATAAAACAAACAAGCTCAAACTTAAAATATATGTTTCAAACATACAATGCAAGCACAGCAGATATGGCATAATCCGATGTCAGAAAGATCAAAACAAAATATGTGCTTTAGTACTGTGCCAGTGAAATATGCAAACTGTATAAACAGATCAGATGGCATTAATGCCTAATCATCACCACTCAACACAACAGCTTGCCATGAAACCACAGATACTGTAAAGGTCAGTCGTCACTTTAGGATTGCACTGCCTGCCAGTATTGGCATGGCATTCTCATATTTCCCTCATTCCCTATTGGATGCAATAGATACTTGTGAACAAAACAGGAAGTCAGCTTATGAAGAATATCTTTCTGAAAGCAAAATACTATAATACGATCTGACTAAGCTTTAAAATCTGAAACCATGGATAAAATTAGAAAATTCAGGCCAGTGGCAGCAGCTGAACAGACAATTGTCTATCAAATACCTGTAAACCTATTGTGTATAATCTGCACACTACAAGAAGATGGTACATTTAAACAAGCTGAGGAGACTGCAAGCAGGGTTTGTCATAGTCAGTAGTATTGGTACAAAACCAAATACAAATATAGAATGTAATTATGGTTAATAATTATACATTTTCATAATTTATGTACAAACATACTTTCACAAACATGAACCACATGACATGCATTAAGTACACTTTATTGAATCATGCAAATAGTGAAAAAATAATGTTTGACATCAATATTCTTGGAACAATACCAAAAAACAATCAATGAACTATTTTCATTCTTTTGAACATGATATTTCTCATGCATAGCCTGCATTGAATGGTTTATAGATTATATTCCTATTTCAGCCTTGGTTTGTGGCCTCATGCAATGCACAACAGAGAGTACCTTATCCTTGTGATAGTACCTGGTATGTGGAAATACAGGAATGACTTCATCCTAGAAATATTTCTTGTTTCAAAATCCAACAAATTGATTTTAAAAGATTGAAATTTCCTGAACAATTATTTTTGGAATAGTGTTTTGTAACTCTTTTTAAGGGGAAAGGCAATTGGGTTCTAGATATTTAAATTATTCACCAGTTTTGTAGTAAAGGCACCTCTTAGAATTATTTCTTGTTGCCAAAACCAAACAAATTTATATCAAATGACCTAAAATGCAATAAAGAATATTTTTAAATGCCTTATTTCAACTCTATTGAAGTAGAAAAGCTATTAATTCCTTAACAGGAGTTAGGAGTTATTAACCATTTTTTGTAGTAAACATGAATAGGTGTTTCTACTGCATGTATTAAGAAAGCATTCAAGCCCTATGAATACAATGATGCGACATAACAGGGACAATCAACTCTATCTCTGAAGACAAAGCAGGAAGTCACGAGAAAGTAAACAATCATGCGGCTGGGCTGCCATGCAGAGAGCATACTCTGTACTCACGTCTACCAGGTGACGATGTTCCACTTGTCGTCCGGCTTGGTTGGGGCCGAAGACGGTTGACGCCATTTGAAGGGGTATCCTCTGGTTTGTGTCTTGGGCTGTCATGGCCTGACTCCTCCTGATCAAAACTCTCCCGCTCCAGTGCACGTTTACTTGCCATGTCCAGAAGCCTCATTTTGGTGGCTGGGGAAGCTGTGCGTGCAGAGGACATACTGGATGTGTCGGACTTCTCAGAAGACGTTCTCCGGACAATCATGGGTTTGTGGTCCAAAGAATGAGACGCGTTATGAACTGGAGACACAGGGCTATTGGAAGAAGATGGCTGACTCACCATCAGCTGGTCTTGGGGGCCTGACAAGCGTTTAGACAAAATCACAGCCTCTGTCGGAGTCATCTTAGATTTTTCAGGGGACATGGAGTTCCTGGAATGTTCTGTTGAAGCTGATTCAGCTCCTTCAGATGTCTCTTTGTTGTTAGTTTGTGTTTCTCCATTAGGCACTTTTATCTCTGGGGACTCTCTTTGGTCTCGGTGCAAGTCAGAGGCACTCTCGGTCTCAGACAGGTTTCGAGCCAAGACGGCTGCAGAAGTAGACGACATTTGATCTGAGGAATGAGTCTTGGAATCGACAACATCCATAGGAGTTTCTCCATCAGAAGAGGATCCTGAATCTGAGTCTGAGACATTGCGTCGTCGACATGACACATGTTTTATGTCATGTTCATTATCAGGTACATCTTTACTAGATTTAAAGGTATCAAACAAGTTGGACAATCTTTTCTTGTCCGCATTTTGAGGATATCCAACTCGGTCAAGGTCTTCTTGACTGGCAGAGTTTTGTCGCGTGACTCCTCGTTTAGTTTCTGGGACACCATCACTGCCGTCGCCATCCCGAGCCTTGGAAACAGTGCCTGGAACAAGATGTGTTTTAACTATGAAACAAACTCAATAAACTGTTTTGTTCACATGAACACATATAAAACTTAATCTTTAAATGTGTACATTAGACATCATGTTGCAGACCATTTAATATCTTGTACTTTCATAAAATGAGTCAGGTTTATCATAACTTTGAAATAAATTCCTGTTATATCATAGTGTGTCAAGGGCATGTAAAAGGGCATTCAAACCCCAGATTTAAAGTTTATGGTGTCAAACTCATTAAAAAACTGTTACCATTTTACTGATATTATTAAGAGTTTTTATAAAACAAGAAAAACAAGCTATTTTCAAAATTTAATAGTAATATGCTATAAAGTGAAAAATTAGATATGATTTTACAATACACATGTGATCAATACCGCACCATAAAATGTAAAACAGATATGATATAATAATAACACCCAATGACATAAAAAATGGTACGAATAAAAGGTGGAAGATTCATACAAATAGTGATAAATGTAGAAAAACTCCAACAACCATTTTGATGTAATCCAAAGCTCACAACATTCTCTCACTGTAAGCTTCAGTCTACAGGAGGCAAATCACGGTAATTCTCAAGGCAGCCGTTTGTACAACCCTTTGATCCCTGTTTAAAGCAACTGCTGACTGACAACTAAATATACTTTGTGACACGATTTGAGAAAGTTTCATGGCAATATTTGAAGAAAAATATAACATTTGATGAAATTTTGTTGAAACAATATTTTATGCAAACAATACTCTGAGTACTGGTATGCATTACGAGCCGTATGTACCATCAGAACAAGAATAACAGGTCATCTAATGGGAATACATCCAGATCACACGAAGCAGACGTCTTCTTCTCAAACATGTCCTCAAGGTTCATCTGGCAATGTCATGGAAAAGACATCAAATATGACAGACTCTATTAAATATTGATGTGGAATGCTAAAAAATCACCTGATCTGAAATCATGATATGCAGTTGTCCATTGCTTTAGATCAATATATATGTGGGGAAACTTGAAAGTGGACTTGAAAAAGAAATCTTTTTACAAACAAAGAAATAATTTCTTAGTCTCAGTTTGTATTAATGTTGTCTTATGTTTGAAAGAGCAAATATGAATCCATTTGAATTTCTTTAGTCAAATGTTTCTGTCCTTGCAGAAGCTGGTAAGGTCATAAAGTGAAAACATCATAGTTTCCATATTTACTAACAGAGGAATATTTGCTGTGGGCAAAATCTACAACATAGCTCATGATCTGTCTAGACAGTTCTACACAAAGTCACGTGGGTCATGGCCTTTTTCCCATGGCCCTTATAGCCGACCACACTGGCAACAGAAAGAGCAGCCAGATAAGCATCAAGAGTCTTCACATATGGAATAACAGTGATACTTCCAGAAGGACATTTTTCACATCAGACTAAACATTGGTGATCAGTCCCCAGCTTCTACTACACCAGCCACTGTTTAGTGTCATGTCAGGGAGGTCACCTTACCCTAGAGACTTGGATACGTGTGTTCTGTGTGAAACACTGCCTCATTAAACAAGGACTGGGATTGAGGCAGAACAGTTGGCTTTGGCTACAAAACTGTCTCAACATTGCAATTATACTGCTGAAAGTCTGTATGCAAGTTACAAAAGCCTTAGGGCTTGAAACTTTCTAGTTCCCGATTACAGAAGTGTTTTGGATAATAGTGCATGCAGGATTTCAAAACAATTCCATTTACCAGATTCTACAGATACTGTAAACTATTTACAGACAATGTTGTAAAATGATTTCAGGCTCCAAACTCAACTGCTAAAGTATACCGTTTTCCAACCTGGCTAGCTATTCTCGAAACGTTCGTAGCCCTACGAACTTCGTAAGCCCGTTCATAACACATTGGCTACGATCAAAGTTCAGAAATCTTGGGGCTATGAACATTTCGAGAATAAGGACCCAGGTGATTAAGTTTTTGTCATGATGAAGTTACACAATGACATGTTCACGTTTGTTAATAAGATGGATGAAATTCAAGAAGAATCAGGCTCCTGATAAACACACACTATAGGTCCATGAACCTCAACACAATGATCAACAGATAACTTTGATAACAAATTTAGCTGCTTAGGACAGGGGAAGTGTCACTCAGAATCCGTACCCACAGGGTTGGTGCGGGTAAATCAGGGAACTTGGATTGGTCCTTCATTCAAACATTTCTCTCTTATCTGGATATTGACGTCTTCTTTTACTTGTGTATTAAAGTGGCAGCATGTTTGAGACATTTATTACAGCAAGAATACATCTGCATTATGACCAAATATGGTCACTGTGACCAAGGAATCTGAATCCTGAGCACCGAAACTATAGAACTGGTGTTCACTGAGAGATGACTGAATATCCCATTGTGTGTACGACATGTATTTCAGTGATAAATGCAATCAGTGTGACATTATTCCAAACAGGTTAAAGAATTTACATGAGGAATCAATATTGACAACAAGATTAAGCCACTCTCCAGCTCGGTGACTGCATTAAGTCAGAGTTCATCCAGTTTTCAAGTTCTTCATCACAAAACTTTGGCAAGAAGACAAAATATTTTCCACAGCATGTCAATAAATAAATGCTTTTTTTGCCGTAAGGGATTTTTCTTTGCCTATTGCCGAATCAGGGATATGGGAAGTTGTGCACTAACAGTGGCACACACTACTGGTAATGCATACAGGGCCATGTGGTCCTGTGTATAGCACACAGGTCACAAATCACGTTGGGCAAAGATGGTGATGAAGAGAAGGGGATGGGTGACCAGGTTCATCCAGCTTGAGTGAGTGAGTGAGTGCGTGAGTGAGCGAGTATGGTTTTATGCCACTTTTAGCAATATTCAAGCAATATCATGGCAGAGGACACCAGAAATTGGCTTCACACATTGTACCCATGTGGGGAATCGAACACAGGTATTCATCGTGATGCTTTAACCACTGAGCTACCCAACTAACCACTGGGCTACCCAACCGCTCCATGACCCGTAGGGGATGGGTGACCAGGTTGTTCCAGCTTGCTCAAGCTTGCCTTCTGAGAGTTAGTAGGACCTAAGTCTTGGCCAACAGTGAAACTCACCTGTTGTGTCTCTTTAGGCATGTGAGTTTCTTTAAATTTTCCTCCATTCAAACAGCATGAAATGGGTACTGTGAAATGGTTATGCAGTTAGAAACACCTTGTAGTGTTAAAAAGCACCTGCGATTGCATAGTCCCCAGGGAGTAGAGAATGTGAGTGATATTGCACATTGATCCGCTGATAAGAGTAGTGGGTGAGGCATTTTGTGCAGACAGTGTGGTGTCCTATGCCCGTCAACATGCAGGTGCTTCCTTCGTCACAGACTGTGATCAGGAAATGCTAGACATTCCATCTCCCTTCTACACACTGCAGGACACGCCCATGCAGGAAGCACATTATACTTGCTTCCTTAAGACTAGTATTAGTGATGCGGTTATCTGATGATTTCAGAGAAGTCCTTCAATGGATTTTCTGTAAATTTACAGTCACCTCGATATACATAATATTTGAATTCACATATCAATTTTACATACCATTAACAACTTACTGAAAAATCGGTTTTGACAGAAAAGAAATAAATATTTCATTACCTTTGTACAGGCATTATACCTGAAACTATTTCTGGTGGGATTTCTGTTTATCATATGCCATCTCTACTGCAGAGAACACTATCCCTCCACAACTTCTTTAGACAATACAAAGGCTGATAATGATTGCATGAAGTCTTATAATTTACGGTAATTTCTTTGGCAGAAAATATCTCACACAGTGAGATCACAGGCAAAAACTTCTTTTACATTTATCTATCCAGCTGTGTGAAAGATTTGCAACTGAATCCTACTTTGACATACCAACCTACTCCGTAAAAAAAACAATGGCATTATTGAGTCAGCAGAAAAAAGAAAAACGATGCACAATTAAATTTCTAATTTACTCCCACTTTTTATTATTAAAGTTGGCAGAAATGTGATCAAAGTAACAAAAAAAGGTTACTTTCAAACATTTTAGTTACTGCTGGGAATTGTTTTTGTTTATAATTATGTAAAATGCCACAGAAGGCTCGCATTAGGTTCATCTGTTCTTATTTCAGAATAAGGGCATTTTTAAAAATTTTCACAAGCAAGAACTTGTGCCACAAGATAAGCCTACACACATAATGTAGTCACTGGAGCAGAAACTTCTCTTATGGAATAAGGCAAGCATAGCCAGGTGAGCTTGGGGGCTAGCAGCTATTGTTTGAAACCAAGATGGTCGACATGGTAGCCCTTTAAGGCTATATTAGGGATGTCCTCAGGGTTCCATGCTGTGGTATTTGACTTACTAAAGTAGAGGGCTTATCAGGTGCATGACACTGTCAAGCTGTAGTTTTTAGGTTGTACAATGCGCTAATACAATGACTTGAGAAGGGTAACAGAATGCTTCTGAACACTTCAGAAGGACGATTTATCGACTTATCTCAAGTAGGTTTACCTTGCAGTCCTATGTTAGTGTTGGCATTAGAGATTATGTATGTATTGGAATAATACATCATGTAGACTCATCACCATTGCTACACAGTGATACTGTTGATGCCTCTACTTGGTACAGCAACAAACCCATGGCAGATGCACAAACAGCATCACAGTACACATGCACAGTAGAACTTACATCAAACAGGCTCTAGCTTAGAGGGTTTGTACACACCAGCATCTAACTTGTATTTAGGAGTCCAAAACTGTACAAGGCAATCTAACACAGGCCAGAAACTGTACACATTTCAACATGTATACAATTCAAATGTTTGTATACAACATCGACAACAGTAGGTTAGAGGGTTTGTATGCACCAGCATCCAACTTGTATTTAGGAGTCTTAAATGAATACTGTACAAGGCAATCTAATTCTGTTAACACAGGCCAGGAATTGTACACATTTCAACATGTATACAATTCAAATGTTTGTATGCAACATCGACAACAGTAGGTT